ACCAGGCAGTTCAGAGAGAATCAAAGGAAGGCAGGCAGGGAGCTTTGCATGACATTCTTCTGGACGTGTTTCATTGTGGTGATAGTGAGGGTAGTCAATCGTTTTTTTGACAAGACAATAGTGACGGCCATCTTGGTGACGTGTGTTGTTTTGCGAGACCAGAGATGTAGTTCATTGAGCGTTTCACACAAAAAAATGTGTTACTTCACAGTTTTACAACACTTTATTTATTTGACTTGCAAAGGGGAGGGACTTCGCCACTCTATAGAGAGGCGAAGTCCCTCCCCTTCTGGTCGAGCTCCATGGGACCTTATTTCGGAAAAATTATGTATTGAAGTCAATGGAGAGAGAAAGATTATCTTTTGATCCCGATTGGATTGTGCCACGAATTACACATATGATGTTTGTCAATTTAAAAGAACATTTTGCAATTCAAAAAAATAAGAATGTGTCGTAAAACTGTGAAGTAACACATTTGTTTGTGTGAAACGCCTAATGAACTACATCTCTGGTCTCGCACAATACGCGTCACCATCACAAAGATGGCTGTCACGTTAGCACATTTTACCTCTTTCTTTCAGAACGAGGTGAAAATCACTACAAGTCTGGGCATGTTGAGAGCTGTACATACACAAAAGGGGAGTTAGTCGGTTCTGTAGGAGCCAGCATGCGGGACCGGCTTTACAAAGTTTCGGTGAGTAACATGAGTGTAATGTGTAACGTTAATGTCAGCTAGCTAACATTAGCTAACAAGGTACACTAACGTGTTTTGTTTTAGCAACTAGTTTTCTCGTTAAGAACTTCGTGGTCTCTGTGTATGCTGTGGATAACATTAGTGTTCACAAGAACAAGGTACACTCCCGTGTTTTGTTTTAGTTGCTCTTCAGATTGAAGCGGCCAGTTTTATATCGACTATACTGTATGTGTGATCTCCTTTTTCTCGTTGTGTCATTTGAGTTTATTTGCTGTGTGTAGATTCAAGGATTTTGGTTATCTTGTCAATTTGTTTGGTTATCTAGGCACAGCTGTGTGTGACTCCCTCTGGTACACTGGTATGTGTTTTCCTAATGTAGAGTGTTGATTTAATTAATAAACTACACACTGAGTCTAGATCCTGACCATCCTTTTTTTGTTGTTGATCAAATGTTTTCATTATTAAGACCTGGTCTGCCAGCAGGATGCCTTCCACTTTCCATCCAGCGAAATACACAATGGAGCCCTCAAAGCGCTCCACCAACCCCGCCACCCTTTTAAACATGGCCTGATCAGGAAGCCCTGTTTCCATTCGGATGACATCATCAGGTAAACCTGTTGCTGAATATTTTTGCCATTCTCTTACAATTATCCCCTGCCAGGTCTGTGGAACAACTGGACTGCAAGCTGCAGGGTCCAGGTTCGGCGTTGGTGTCTGAGGATTGCATGCTGGAGAGTTCGGGGTCAGTGCCTGCAGACTCAGGCCCTTTGCTGTAGCTGTGGTCGGTGGACTGATTTACCAACACACTCTCACTCCCTAAGCGTCCAGGAACGACGTTTGGTCAGTGTCCGTGGCGTCCAGTTGTGACGCTCCTAGGCTCCTTCAGCGTCATAAAGGGACGCAAATAGCTTTCAACTGATTGCAATGTATTCCCATCTGCGGCGGGATTTGACGCTCATGGAAGCACGGCATTCGTTTGTGTCGGCTGCCCTTAAAGGCAATGTGAGCGTCCATTCCCATTGGATAACGGAGAATTGTACACCCGGAAGTAAGTATTCCTCTTACTGTCGATTGATTTTACAGTGATATCTGCACTACTCATCGACTAAAAAACACCAGATTATCCTTGATAATTACACAACATTGATTGGTTTAAATTGTGTGCAATGCTTTTGTATTTTTCCCCTTCGATTCGGAGAAACAAATATTTTTTCGGAGTAAAGGATGGCAGAAGACACTACACTACCCAGAATCCCCAGCTATCGTTTGGACTACACCATGTGCTCTGTTTGACAAACCCCTTTTTTTTTCACCATTCATTCCAATGGCTGGCATCTATGTCACGTGATCTTCAAATTTCTCCCTGCAGAAAAAGAAAACATGGCCGAACTTCGTTTTATTCTCGGTGGAAAATGCCTATTTTAAAGTTAGTTTGGCCATTAAAATGCGTTTTGATGTCATTTGATGCGAGAAATATGAGTTGTTATTTCAGATTATGTGTGCAGTGGATGTACATGATCTTTAGTTTGCTAGTTATTATGAAGATTACTTCAGGAAATTGCGACGTTTTCATTGTTACCAAGGTGGTTGCTAGGGACGCTGCTATCGATATTATTTCTGTTATGTTGTGTAACTGTTTAATAGTGTTATCTTTATTGCTACCCCCTTCCCCATCAATGAATAGTGTTGGTCCACAGCGCAAACATATTAGTTTAACAAAATCCGCATCTAAAGATAGCATAAAAAGGATAACCTGACTGCTGTACTGTGCTTTATCGACTTCAAAAAAGCATTTGACTCGATCCACAGAAGCACAATGGTGAAGATCCTTGATCCTTGTCCCTCCCAACCTACTCCGGGCAATAGAGACCATGTACGCAGGAACAAGGGCCAGGGTGGTGACCCCAGACGGCAACAGCGAGGAGTTTGACATCCTGGCTGGGGATCTTGAGCAGGATCTTGGCTTCACTCTCACACCAAGGAGGTTGAGACGACACCCCACAGTAGTCCTGACAGACCTGGACTATGCGGACGACATCAGCCTGCTCTCCGACAGCGTGGAACAAGCACAGGAACTCCTGAACAGAGTGGAGTCAGAGTGTGCCAAGGTTGCCTTAGGCTAAACGCCAAGAAAACTGAGATTATCACCTATAACATCTTAACAGAACATCCACCTCTGACAACAACAGAAGGCACTGTGCTTAAAGAAGTCAAGGACTTCAAGTACCTGGGCTCATGGGTCAACTCAACCGAGCAAGATCTTAAGGTGAGGAAGGCACTTGCATGGAGGGCCCTGAACGGCATGACAAGTGTATGGAACTCCAACCTCCCCCGTCAAATCAAACTCAGCTTCTTCTATGCAACGGTAGAGTCTGTTCTCCTCTATGGCAGTGAATGCTGGACCCTGAAGCCAACCCTGCAAAAGTCTCTTGACGGATGCTACACCAGAATGTTGCGAGCAGTACTTAACATCAGCAAGAGTGTACATGTAACCAACAAGATCCTGTACGAGGGAATACCAAGGGTGAGCGAGAAAATTGCAGCCAGGAGAATGAGACTAGCAGAACATTGCCAAAGGCATCAAGAGCTGCCAGCTGGCAAATTGGTGCTGTGGGAACCAACACACGGGCATCGGTCACGAGGATGTCCCGCACTAACATACGTGGACGTACTCAAGAATGACGTAGGAGCACAAAGTACCAATGAACTGGCCAGATGTATGGAGAACCGGGATGACTGGAAGCAACGATGGAGGGCTCGTCTGAGGACGACCTAGAGAGAGATTACCAACGTTCAGGGAGCTCTATGCAAGTCAATGGGACGCCCTGCCCGTTGAAAACTGACTCTCAAGGGGTACCCTGTCCGTAATAGAGTGACGGGGAGGGGCCCTGACCGCCCGTCAACATGTGCCGGGTTGGGAGTGTTCACCCTCATAGTTACGTATTAGTATCTTGTATGTATTGCACAGTTTATTTTTAAGGATAGCCAAACAAATCATATCACAACATTTTTGATAACATTCATGATTGGTTAGGGGAGCTACGTATATTTCTTTGCTCAAAGTAAATCAGCAACTCACCTCAGCAGAGTCCAGTGTTAAAACCTGGAATGTGAATCATTTTCAAAAGCATAATAACTAGGGGTGCACCGAATGGGAAATTCTTGGCCGAAACCGAAAATAGGAAACAGTTGGCGAAAACCGAATGCCGAAAGGCCGAAAATGATTAATAGAAATATATATATATATATATATATATATATATATATATATATATATATATATATATATATAATGTATACATTTTTTACCAATGTTGTTCAGCTACCTGATTATGGAAATAGACATGATTATGGCAAAACTTAACTTACATAATAATCACTATTATGGGTCCATAAAACATTTATTCAGCACTTTTGAATGCATACAGTACATTTATATATGTCATGTATTATTGCTAAAAAACATTATATCGCAGTCTTAGTGTCGCCAACTCGTTTCTAATATGCAAAGACAACAAATGCGTCTGATGTATTTTCGATCAGACGAGATCTCTCCCCCCCGTCTGTGTGCGAGGGGGCGGGGCAGTTTACACACACGCAGCTGCTACATGCAGCGGAGCACACTGCGGAGATGGCGGAGAGAACGCGCTTCGAGGTGTGGTTAAACTTTACCCGTCTCGATGTGGAGAATACTTGTTACCATAAGTGCAATAAGAGTTTAGCATGTAAGCACGAGCAATTTGTCTAAACATTTAGCAAAAGTGCACCGCATGCAGACGGAGGAATGTACCGGGTTCGACCGTCTTTCTAGCAGCTCTGTAGCTCCATCACGAGTAACGTTTCCACGTCAGGTGTTATGTATGCTAGCAGCAACACACGGAGTTAACTACATGATACAAACATGGGTTAATGATTAGAGGAAACTGAGTTATTTAGTTTGTTAACATTTCAGCTATTCTGTTTACAGTCTGTCATCAGATTATTTAATACGATTTGTTAAAGGCTCAGGGCAATCTCGATGACAAAGGTCAATGTTCCCCCCCCTGTGAGCCAGCCGCGAGCATGGTCGCCGCGTCTTTATTACGTCATCACAACAACACGTTACCAACGTAAGCCTGTTCTGACATTCGGTGATATTTTTTCGGTGCTAAAACCCTTTCGGCCAAAAGCCGAAAGGGCCTTTTTAACCATTTTCGGCCGATAATTTTCGGTGGCCGAATATTCGGTGCATCCCTAATAATAACCACCAATGACATGGGTAACTATATTTGTTGTATGCTACACAAATAAAATACATAGAGAAACGTTATTTCATCCACATTTCTTTATTTGGTTTTAGGCATGTTGGTATGTGATCAAGGGAGGAGAAAAGGCAGCGGTGAGACATTCAGGATCAGTCTACAGACAGAGACCAAGCTGTGGTTAGGCTAACACACTAGCCAATGCTAATAGCTCTCCCTTTAATATTTCATCACACTTTAATAATTATTTAGAAAGGTAAACATTTACACCAGCTATCATGGTTAATGTGTAATTTAAAACATTATATTGGTAAATGTGCAGCTATAGATCAATGTTTTGCCTAAAGAAGAATAGCTTATGTACACTGAGTGACCAGGATATCACCTGATGATGAATATGTCAATTATTAGGATGTTGTCATTGAGCGCCACAGTTTCTGCAGTTAAATACTGGTGTTGTCTTGTAATTACCTTCATATCTGAAAGACGCACAACAGGTGCCCTCCGGCTGAATAAATAAATAAATAACATTAAAGGGTCAGTTCACACAAATCACGAAAAATCACCACAAAAGGTATTTACAGAATAAAATGAGAAAATTCGTGTTTTAATGTTAATTAATGTGAAAAGTCATACGTAATATCACATATATTAGGGTGGAAGTCACCTGTGTCATCATGTGTGTTAAGGTGGAAAATGACATGTGTTATTTATTACACTTACTTATCAATAACAACTCTAATTATATGCTTCATTGTATTGCACAGTGTATTGACATTGGCGTAGCTACCTCATGTTAGCTAAGGCTCTAAGTTTTATGGAAACATTAACTTGTATTGTTTACCTTGGTGGTAACAGTGGAAGTTGTTTGGCCCTTTAAAACGAATACTAATGTTGTCATTTTGTGATAAAGTACACACTTTGAGATGTCTTTAACTACTCCCTAACTTGTTATTTAAAAAGTTACCTGTTCTCTTACAGAATGCCAGGTTCGTGAAAGACAAACCTTAGAAAAATAAAGATGAACTATGAAAACATTTTTTGTAAATTGTGTGAACTGACACCCTTTTTGTGTGAATTCTGCATTTAACTTACAGTGAAAGCCTTCCAGTCACAGCTCGGTCTCCAGTGTGTCTGCAGTCAGTCCTTACCTCCCAACCTTTCTCATGTTGGCTACAGACGGAGGAGGGACCTCGGTCACAGCAGGGTAAAGCTTTAGGATTCAGTTGGCTACATTACAGTGGAAAGCTTTAGTGAAAAGAGAAGCACTTATAATCCTTAAAGCATTGTTTCTCCTTGGTACTAGCAGACAGTTTCTACTCTCCTACATTTTGTAAAACTTTTTTGTGGTGTTTTTTTATCTAGTAGTAGGCTCTTAAGGGCAAAATGTGAGTTCGGCTTCTAAAACTTCCAGCCATACATTCTCATTCACATCACTTCCTCAAAGACCATAACCTAAAAATCATTTTCATACCATCCTTACACATGTAACAAAAAAACCTTAATTCATGTAATCAAATCTAATAATAATATCAACAATAAGAAAAAGCAAACATTTGCTTTGGCACATGTTCCTGTGCACAGCAGGAAGAACAAAAGACTCAAATGAAAAGAGGCAGAGAAATGAAATGGTTCCAAACAGAAGCAACAAATGCGTTCTATTTAAAAACTAGCTTAACCACTAGACAATTCGCACTACAAAAATCACATTGACTTTTAGGTCTAAATCAGAAACACTTTTTGGTATTGTGTTGCTCTAACAGCTTCAGTGGTAGATGAGGAGAAAAGCCCTCATCCTTTAATACTGTATTCTTTGAGGAAACCTAAAACACTCCTAAAGGGTTGAGGTGAACCTTGAGGAACATAACAGCTCAAGTGACAACACACACTTTTGGTTAATGATATATTCGTTTAAAGCATTTTTTTGTTTGGAACATTAACTATCGTAACATTGAACTATTGTTTTGTTAGCGATGGTGAAAAATGAGGATTGCACACAATTTAGGATCCAAGCTAACCATTGTTGGCTTTAACAAGTGAGTATTTAAGCTTCTTAATGTGCTATAGCTACATCAAGCTAGCATGCAAAAACGGATGTTAACAGTGCAATTTAGTAACCAGAGCAGCTAAATATGATGTGTACTCATTTGAAGATAAGAAAGAAACATTAGCTAGTGAGCTAATATGGGTTGTTGATGACCGTATAAAGCTGTTGTGTTTTGTCAGACCCGTTTAATGGCTGTTGTAATAAAGCAGTGACAGCCGTTAATGAAAATAAAGATACATTTCCTTTTTGGGCACTTGTTTTTTCCTTTAAAATACAACCATTCAACTCTTTGTTTAAACCACTTAGGTCAAAAAGCTACTTTTTGGGTTAGGTTTAAGGAAGAGGTTTCTTCTCACAGCTGCTGCCCTCAAGGTTCACCTTGTGTTAACCGTTCACACACTCGTGGAAATTATCACGCTCACAAGCATGATCCTGAGCTTTGGTTGTGACGAAGTGCAAAGTTAAACCCTTGGAATGTTACATTTATAGAGGTTACATAGTTTGTTAAAATACATAAATATTTGGCAAGAATTGAACTACTAAAAACAGAAAGCAAGTATTCCTTAAACAGCAGTAACAATATAGCAAGTATTAGAAAATATCTGACATCTTCATTTGGTTACTCTTCAAAAAGGTACAAGTTAGAATCAACAAAATAAAGAGTTCCGTGTTGAAGGGGTGCACCTGGAATGACCAAACAAAAGGTTATGAAAAAATTACAAAGAAAATGCTAAGGAAATCATGAGATTTGTTTTGGTTTGGGTTAGGTTAAAGCACTGTATACACAGGTGACCCCTTTCAAATTGGAACAATCCAAACATTTAAGTAAATGTCTCTCTTAAAATAATTCTTTAAAGGAAAATAAGGAAAACCATCAAAATGTTTACATCTTTGGGTATCATTCAGCTTGGTTTTCATAGAAGAACTTTTTGGATAGGCTGACGCTGGAGACACGGCGCTGTCCGTGCCTTCAGGCGAGTGTCACCTTTTAAAATTATTTGCTGCCAACTCAGTGTCATTGAGGTCCCAGGGTGACACATTTGGCATCTGGAGAGTTAACTTGGCAGCATGGCCTCAAACACTTTTTGTCTTTCTTTTCCATCAGGGTTGTGCAGAACAAGCAAGCATCATGTTGAACTTCCTCTAATGGACTAAAAGAAAGAAAGGAATGCTTTAAATGTTCTCGAGGCACTCTTTGAGGTTTATATGTTCCATGAGCTACTTCCTCTGCACAAATAAGTCTTTGGAGATGGACACTGGAAAGCCATGTAGAGGTCAACGTTGATCAAGGAGGGAGCGCTGAAAGTTAAAGATTTCCAAAACTGGACCTGTAGATGGAAAGATGACATGGCTTGAACAGGAAGTGGTTAAGGCTCTGGTCGATCCCTGGAGAGGTTAGGCAGGGCTGTGGCGGTGGAGCTCAGGCCATGCCACGGTTATACACTCCCTGGAAGTCATCCTGAGGAGCACTCTCTGGACTAGTTGGCGATTGGCACAGTACACTGACACTGGTGGAGGAAGTAGTTTCTGAATCGAAAGGGTTTCAGTAGTTTTCGGTTGAGGTAGGCTAGCAAAGGTAGCATTATCAGGCTAAAACCGGCCTGCACTATGGCTCAGACATTCCTGTCAGACTGAGGTAGCTTTCTTTGGAGGCGTGCAGCGTTTAGGGGGAAGAGGAGTTGAGTAAACTGTTAACACGGTTCCTCTAAATGGCTCATACGGTGATAGACAATCACTTCCTATCACTTTCACTCTCATAAGGCGTTTGCAAAGGCCACTGTTTCTTCCATTTCTTACTGCAGAGGAACTGAAGGCAAAGAGTTCCATCACCACAGACTAAGAATGGCTTCATTTGGGTTTTAAGACCACAACTTAACATGTCAGCTTACCAGGGGGATCTGAGGAATACTATATATTTTGGTTATGGAACAGACCCCTACTGGAAAAGTGACATGTGTGTGTGGAGTACAAACTGAAGGAATGTGACGGACTGATCTGGCAATGCATTTTGAAGGCTTTTTCTACATGCACATGAGAATGTGCACAGGCAATAAAGGCAATAAAGCTTTGGTTTGAGAGTTAGGGTTAGGGTTGGGGTGGCCAAGGACCAGGATGTCTCCTAGCTCTTTGAGAATATTGTCACATTTTTGCAGAGACTAATGTAAGGTTTGAAGCAGCCGGTCATGGGGAAAGTAACCCTGACACTGGGCCCAGAAGGAGCTCATTGGTGGGATGCTAAGTGAGTAGGAGGGGGGGATATGGGTGTTGATATTAAAGACCAGTGTTAGCCAGTGTCTGTGACAGGCAAACCTGAACCGTGCTGCTCGATGACCACCTGGTACTGCGCCGGACAGACCACCTGCTCACAGGAAGAGAAGGAGAGAGGAGAGAACAAAGACAGGAATCAGATACCACTGAAGTTTAGGAGGTTAACTGATACAGTGATTGGATCAAGAGGAAAAGGGTCTACCTGTGGCGGGGGCTCCACTTGGGGCCGGTGTGCTCCGTCTTTAGGGACCCTATTGTGTCCTCTGCTGTCCCTCGGTACAGACCAGTTGTCCTGAGTCCCTTTACTGCAGAACAGACTGTAAACAGGGTCCAGCTGTGAGTGCCGGTTCTGCTAACGCTACATTAGCATAGCTTAACACTCCTTCATAAAAGCTGCAGAATTTTGATGATCAATGAAGTAAGAGTCGCAATACTGTCATTTTAAATAATCTGTTACAAGTAAAAGTAGTGCTTTCAAATTCTTACTTGAGTAAAAGTACAAAAGGCATCAACATATACAAAAAGTACCAAAAGTAGTTGTTATGCCTAATGGCCCATTTCAGAATCATATATTAAATTAGTGTTTTATGATTACAGATGAATAAATGTGTTCATTCACAATATGAATATGTACAATATGTACTTCATTACATTTCACCACTGACGGTAAACACGACTGCCTAATTCCCCAGAATATGATGTATAAATACATATCAGTGTAAAGTTAGCACAGCAGGACTGACCTGCGTCGGTACCCGAACAGCAGGAAGAGGACGCAGAAGATGATGCAGGCGGTGCCGATGTGGATGCCAATGACGATGCTGCCGAGTGAGGCCTCCCCCCCCCTGCACTGACACAGGCTGTTCTCTGCTGGACACACACACACACACACACACACACACACACACACACACACACACACACACACACACACACACACACACACACACACACACACACACACACACACACACACACACACACACACACACACACACACACACACACACACACACACACACACACACACACACACACACAATGGGAAACATGAGCTCTTCAACTAGCAATTATACGACCCAGAAGTGTCAGCCAGGATACGAGCTGTTTGAATTGTCTAGATGATAGGAAAGGAGCTTCAAACATTATTTTATCTCATTTAGTTTAGGAAACTATGGACTATTCTTTATGAAAGGAAAGGAGATAAGGCTGTCCCACAATTCCTTGTGGCGCACCATTTGGCTGTTCACTGAATCACCAATCTAAATATTCTGCATTTTACAACTTATGTCCTTACATGCCAACATGCTTTGTTTTGGAGTTTATCATGATATTAAACCAAATACAATGTTAAATGTATGTTTCCATGTTTTTTTCAACATATCCCTTAATAAAGGCTTGAGTTGGTGCCTTCTGATTTACCCATGTTATCTAACTCAGATATGTCATGCATTATTGTCTTATTTATTTTGGATAAAGTTTGTAGCGTCATTTCTGGAGTTTGATCATTGGGATATAATATATCTGTTGTCTAATATCATGTATGCATCTTATATTGCAATAATTAAATTCAGTTCTTATCCTTCATATATGTATTGTCTTGAAATCTCTTTTTCAAAGTAATATGTATTTACAAAAATGCTAGTCTGTTCTTGATAAAGTCTAATTTGAACACCTAAGCAAGGTTTAAAGGTGTGTATAGGTTTGGGTACTATGGGATTCCTCATTGAATCCGCTGTGTGAGACTCACCGGGGCTCGGGGCGCTCTTGGCCTCCTCTGCCAGAGACACCAGTCTCTTGGAGCAGTCGCTCTCCCCGTTTCCGTTGTAGGCCACCAACTTCACTTCATACACTGCACCTGATTCTGAAACACAGCAACCAAACAGAGTGAGTCAGGAGTTTGAGACCATGACTTATACCCATTAGATCAACACATGAGGTCAAGGACGCTGGTTATTGAACATTGATGCAGAAATTAGTCATAAAACCTGGAAAGTAGTAGCATTTTAGCAATACTGGTTACATCTTCCTAAAGTCGATGTTTTTTTTACATGTTTTTGGAAATAAGGTGGTTGCTAACAAGTGACTCAATGAAACTATTTAATGTCATCACGCCGACCATTAGCCGCCTTTAGCTTAGCGGTGGTGACGTGAAGTCATGTGACTTTGATGAAGTTCCTTTATTACCCAACGTGAGCTTTTCACTTCTGCCAATTGCATTTGAGTTTCAAAAATCAGACAGTGGTGTTCAAATTGGGAGATTATCCTGCTGAACAAAACGTGTAAGAATCACACACATGTGTTTGCCACATATATTATAATCTGCAATATACCAGAATCCAAGAAAGAAATCTCATTGCTTTTTGTTGAGGGAGCATTGCTAGATCCTGGGGTCGGCTTACAACAACACATCATCACTGCGCCACTGTTTAATTGCTCTGACTTGAACTGGTTTAATCCATAATTGGTGCCATCTCATTTCCCAATTCAATCAGAGAAACAGCCTTTTGCATTTATTTCTAAACGCTGTGTATGGTGCCTGTTGGAGCACCTGCAATCCCCCTGCAGTCAGATAATGAGCTCCTGAGGTTACGACTCATGACACATGATTGTCATTGACAGCACTGTTCAATGAGCTGTCAGCGTAGAGGCAGTCAGAAACACTATAAGGATCAATGATGATAGACAGAACCAAATTGCAGCTAAACAGGGAGAAATATCTTCTCATGGCCATTTATAAATCATGATTATTTCCTTTTTATTTGTCTTGATTTAATAAAGGCAAGATTAGAAAAGCATTTTAAAAGAAAATGAATTATATTTTGAAGGCAGACCATGAGGGATTTCAAGAGGAATTTGAACCCAAGCATATTGATCATTGATGGAAATGATAGACTGATGCATGTTCAGCTGAACCGCTGTGTACTGACTGAAAACTCTCTACTCTCAGTCTGTATATATTGTGACAATCTACAGCTTTATAGGAAATTGTAGAAAACTGTGGGACCTTTAAAGCTGCACTTCGTCACCCTGCTGGTTTCATACCCATTTGTGTCACAGAAAATGTAACCATCCTGTTAGACGGAGCAGCATAAAAGACAAACGTTCGGATAATTATTTACAGTCCACATCTGACAATGAATAGACCTATTAATGATAAAGGAAAAGCTCCACAGGAATAGAGAGGTGCAGGGATGACGTATTTACCCGGAAGTAAGCTGCTGGTACCCTCGACAGAAAGCAATGGGATTTCTCCATAGGATTTAGGAAAATAGCTGGAAATAAGGTGTGTGGAAAACGAACCTGTTTGATAAATGCACGTTTTGTTCAGCCGGATAATATCCACATGTCTACCCTACTTTTATCATTTTCTAATCATAAACCTAATCGTCAGAAGCAAAATGCTAACGTTATGCTATAAATGAACTACAGCAGGAACGAACTTAAGATCCATATTCAAACATACAGATTGTAAATTGTACGAGTTGAAGCGTTTGTTTTAACAGTTTGCAGGAGGCAGGTACTTGCTTTCAAGCAGAACAGGGCAAACAAACTTAGAGGAGTGTTTACGTGTTCGGCGTAATGACGTACAACGGCCTCCACAGCTTCTGTAGTCCTATTCAGCCACTTGGTAACAACCATCGTTTTTCAGACACGTCAACTCTTCAGAAATCACCAGTGGGGTCCCTGCTGATGGATTTAATGTCGTAGAACAAAACGTGATCCGTCTCTTCAACATGTCTCAACCACAGACCTTATTTACAGCTATTTTCCAAAATCCTATGGATAAATCCCATTGGCTCTGAGACGAGGGAACAGGAAGTGGTCAAATGCTAACTCACTTCCTGTTTTAGGACTCGTCACTGCACTACTCTATTGACAGTCACTGGTCACTGGTCTGTTCAAACGTCTCAGAGGTCTTGTATCCTTTGAAATATAATCCAATAAAAGGAGCAGCTTAGTGCAGCTGATGTCTTGTATAATCATTCAACCATATTGTTTTGGAGGTGTGTTGTTATTAGGGGTGTTGAAAATAATCGTTTCTACGATGCATTGCGATGCGGACGTGGACGATTCGGTATCGATGCAGTGACGGAAGATAATCGGTTATAGCGTAGTAACGTTGCTTCCTGATTTTCCGGCCGCGGCTTTACTATAACGTTTTTTTTTTTCTGTCACTTTAATATCAAATCGGTCGGTGGCGCAGAGATCAGGGAACAGACGTGACAGCGGCACAGCAACACCAAACACGGAGCATTTGCTTTATCCACCAACACAAGAACACCAGTCCAGAACCAACAGCAGAAGGACCCGCTCTGAATCACTCCGTGTCGCTGCGGCACAGGGATTTATGTTTTTCAAAAATAATCGCGTTACAATCATGTCAGGTTTTTGGTGGATTTAATTAAGTCTTGGATTGCAGAGTATGAATGTCCTCTAGCAATTTTCAGACGATACGTGTGTAAAGTTTGTGAAGGCAGGAGGAAAAAAGCTTCCGCGATCACCGTCTCCTCTCCGTTCCTCCAAACCCCGCCCCCTCCCTGAAAATAATGAGTGACAGGCTGATAGTGACCCGATAGAAACTTTATTAGTCACTTAATCACTGAGATATAATGAAGCTAATTTAATCTCATACATTCATGGGATTTATGTAACAGTAAGACAGAGAATGTAAGTGTGCACCCACATGCACTATTTTAGTTGTTATATGCTGTTGTAAACACTCCTGTTGTCTGCTGTGTTCAGACTCAAGTCCTGTGTGTGATGCCACATTCAGGACATTCAGTGTCCTTTCTTTAACAGAAGACCGTTGCTAGAAGCTGCAGCTAGACTGCAGAAGCATTATTTTTTTGTTTTTGAGGATGGAACAACTTCACACACAGATATAGGGAGGCTAGACCTATACAATTCATTTATTTTTGTTTATAAATGAATGTCAAGACATTTATGTTATTGATTTCTGAAGCACTTTCTAAATAATAAAAAGAGAGTTCATATGTATTTACTGCATGTATGCATTGATGAAAAATAAGCCATGTGCAGTAATATAGAAAATTGAGGATGCAACGCATTGGTATGAATCGTGATGCATCGGGGATATCGAATTGAATCGAATCGTTGACAGGATAATTGTAATCAAATCGAATCGTGAGACCAGTGAAGATGCACAGCCCTAGTTGTTATGGTAACAGGCATTGAGCGTGGAGTTGTCATGTAAACGAAGATGAGCGAGTAATAGATGCTGCTCAGACATGTGCATGACATCTTAGTGCTTTGATGTGCAAATCTTAATTTCTTTTTCCATCAGCAGGTAGAGAACATAGTAATGAACGTGAGCTGGAACAGAGGTTTAGACTTATTTACTTTAACGTGCTGCAGCTGTGAGAGTCAGCACCAGGTGGTGGTGGTGCCAGAGCCATGGTCAAAAAATACATTACATTATTATTAAGATAAGTGCAATAGGTTAAAGTTACATGACACAATAAGTAAAATCAACCATTAAGATACAAACTCAGAACAGCACACACACAAGTAAAATAGCTTTTTAACAAATCTTGAAAGCTAATGTAAAGTGCTGCTGCCTTGGCTTTATTTAAGCCTCAGTCTAACAGGAGATGAGTAGACCTACTGGATAAATTATATTATATTTGTATGCAGGATCAGAGTCAGTGTTAGGTAGACACTCGCTCACACACACACTCACCCAGCTCAGAGATGGTGTGGGCATTGATGTGACAGGACAGCTGGATGGGCCCCTGGAAGTCAGCGTGGGGGACCCTGCGGTAGGACAGCCTGAAGCCCTCAGCCTTGCCGGCCTTGCTGGGCAGCTCCCAGAGAACCTGCACGGCCGTGGAGTTCACCACCTTGGTGAAGAAGGTGGGGGGTGTGGGCACTGAAGGGAGAGAGGAGAAGGAGAGGGAGGGATGAGAGGGGAGCTGATAACAGTCGAGAACAAAGACAGCTCTAACTGTCCTCACAGGCTCTTTTACAGATTGAACAAAGATATCCAGCAGCACGGCACCTGGTTTTGTTATAACCTATTTGCTTCACTGTGGTGTGAAATAATACCAAACAAAGAGAAAGCAATAATGGACCCCCTCTGTAGGGCTGGGCAATATATGGGTATTTTATGGATATCGTGATATGAGGCTAGGTACCTTCTTAGATGTCTGATACTGTAATATCGCACAAGTGTCTTTTCCTGTTAATGTAGCATGCAGCATGTTTAGGTACTTGTATTGCATTAGAACAGCATTTACTTCATTGGAAAAACACTCTGATGCCGTATGGACTAGTTTTTGTTCTTACAGTTTTTTCATTATGCCATTTAAATTATTGATTTAGTAAGTGAAATAGAGTTAGACACACTAAACATGTAGCATTTATTATTCATTCATTATACTCTCTTTGTGTTATTATTTTGTCAAAGCACCAATAGTCCATATGTGTCAGGTTTCTTGTTCTCACCGCCCCCTAGAGTTGTAGCCCCCACAGAGAGGGACTGCTGGCTGGCCCCCAGAGGAGAGTAGGCCTTCAGGTACAGGGAGTAGGTGGTGGCGGGCTCCAGGTTGGCCACGTCATGCTGGAAGGTTTCTTTACTGATGGCCTCCTGCAGCTCCAGGCTGTCCGGCTCTGAAGCACATATAGATTTGACTACTAAGTACAGATGGTGTGTTTCTAAACTTCTCCTGCTCTGATGGTGCTGACACTCACCTCCTATCTTGCGGATATGCAGGACGTATCCGATGATGCTGTCGGTGACGTTGGGGGGGGGCTGGATCCAGGAGATCTGCAGGCTGCTGGTGGTCAGTGGGCTGGCCTTCAGGCCCTGGGGGGCGCTGGGCAGGTCTTTGGGCTGCGCCACGGCCAGCCGGGCGCTGGCCTGGTTGGTGCCGGCACTGTTCTCTGCGATGCACTGGTAGATGGCTTCGTCCTCAGAACTGATCCGGGTCAGAGCCAGGGTGCTGCTCAGAACACAGAGAGTCAGTTCACTCCTGCTCCTGCTATCCTGCTACTACTACTACTACTACTACTACTACTACTACTACTACTACTACTACTACTACTACTACTACTACTACTTCCAATGCAACCCTTATGTTGTATTTGGGTCTCCCGTGACCCGTTTCAAGTTAAAATGTAATAATAACTACGCTCTAGTTTTTTTTAACGGAACAAGGCTTCATGATATCCTCCACAACAGCTATATAAACACTACAAAACTGATTTTGACCATTTTAGCCAAAATAAAGTGTATAATTTGGTGTTCGGGTCTGGGAAGACCCAGCAGAATTGTTGTAGGTGACTCGGGTTCAAATTTGGCCCAATCAAGATTCATCTTTGACTTTAGACACCCCACCCCCTTCAGCCACTGTAACAATAATTGTTGGCAACATGCACCTGGTCTCCCCTCCCTCTGCCCCACCGAACAAATTGACCCGCGAACACCATGAACGGTAACAGATTTTGAACACAACACAAGGGTTAAGTCGTTTTAAAAGGGCTTTTTTTGTTGCAAATATGATCTTAAACACACTATGGATTACAATAGGACCTAGTGAAGGGCTCATGCATTACGTTGTTTGTCTTTACAGGACCCAGTATCAACATCTTGGTTTAATACCTTATTATGTGCATAATGTGTTACATGTTGCATATTCCAATTTACATATGTATTTAATCACTAAACAAACCTTGATGAGGGTAGTTTTCTATAGAGAATGATTGTTTTCTAGGTACAATACAATAAAGCTTGTGTGATCTGTTGCAAACTAGGTCCAGTACACACATACAGGATACATACAGAATTCAATGATAGTGGAAGAAACTCAGTTATTTAATTAAAAAAATATTTTAAAAATCTGCTTTAGAGTGTCCTGTTGATACTAGCTTGTTAGTGAGAAACCAACATCAATGATCAAATCAACACCAAAACATGTGTGTATGGTGCATGAAATATTTGAAAGCAAAACACATGGAGGAAACCAATATATTTGGGATATAGGCTAATACAAATATTGTATTGATTAAATTTAACATGACATGTTTTGAAGAGCTCACACTGATCACATTCACAGTGAGCACACACTCTGTGCAGCGCTGCCACCATGTGGCACAGCTCTGAGATGCAGGACTACGTGAAGCTCTGCCGTCTGTGAGTAATGAAAACATCTGAGAATACAACTGCTACCAGTTTAGAAGATATCTTTACACATGTGTATTTCAGATTTTCGAAAACTATAAGATACATTTTCCCACCTTTCATTCATTGAATACTATAGAATCTGTTTATGCCATCTTGTGAAAACAACTAAAGAATTGGTCACAACAAAAATATTATATGTTTAATATGTAACCAGTGCACCATTGCAAATGAGTCCTATGTGTCAAGTAGTTTTCCTAAATAAAAGTTAATAAAAGTAATACAAGTAATGTGATGACATCACTGCCACCTACCTGTTGTTGTTGGTCAGCTTGACGTTGTTCCCGGTCACCAGCACCTTGCCGTTCTTCAGCCAGATGAGGTGGGGCTCCGGGACCCCCTGGGCCACGCAGGTGAACACAGCGCTGCCCCCTGCTGGTCGGGACACAGACTGTGGCCACTGCAGGAACTCAGGAGGAGCTGAGGAGACATAGGGACATGAGACAAGGAGCAGAGTCACACACCATCACAATATACAACTAAAACAATCTTTGTTAACATAACTGAAACATACCAAGAGTTCATTTATGTAGCTTAATTACACGACTGGTGCAGCCATATCCAATCAAATCCAATCCAACTTTATTTATATAGCACTTTAAAAACCTTCAGACCAAAGTGCTGTACAGAGGGATAAGCTCACACAACATAATATAAATACATTTAAAATACAAGATACAAACACAAAACAAACCAGAATAAACGTAATAATTAAAAAATAAATAACAGCCATATAATAAAAAACAATAGACCACTGAAAGCAAATAAAAGCAACAATCTACTTGTTTCTGAATGCCAAGGAGAAGAAGTGGGTTTTAAGACGGGATTTAAAAGCAGACAGTGTGGGAGCCTGTCTGATGAGCAAGGGCAGGTCGTTCCACAGTTTAGGGGCGGCAGCAGAGAAAGCACGGTCCCCTCTACGCTTAGACTTTGTTTTTGGCACCTTCAGGAGCAACTGATCAGCTGACCTGAGAGTGCGAGTGGGCATGTAGCTGTGTAACAGCTCAGAGAGGTAGGGCGGGGCCATTGAGGGCTTTAAAAGTAAATAAAAGAGTTTTAAAATGAATCCTCGAATGAACGGGCAGCCAGTGGAGTGAAGATAACATGGGGGAAATGTGCTCGTATTTGCGTGTGCCAGTTAGTAGCCGTGCTGCTGCATTTTGCACCATCTGCAGGCGAGCTAGGGAGGAAGCACTTATCCCCATATATATCAATTCGCTCAAAGAAGTCCGGTCCATTTAACTTCAGCTTTTGCCAAAAATCACATTCGTTTTAACTCCATTGGAATATACAATGTTTGTGGGCTGTCTTTCATTTTGACACACAGAACAATGGGGGCTATCCACCCTTATCCACAATGTAAAGTAATTCACACAGCCTCTTCCCTCTTCTCTCTGTGAGGAGCAGCAGGTTCAGCTTTCAGAACAAAGTAACACAAAACTAAAATGGCATTCATTTTTTTAATATGTAGTGTAGTGTTTGATGTTCTCATAAACGAGTCATGTTTATTATAGAACTTGGTTTAATAACCTTAATAGTGACGGAGCAACATTACATACACATGTCAGTTATCACAACACTACTCGAATGCCGCCTGTAGATCCCTACAGCCAAAAAGAGACCAAATGCGAATACTCTACATGTAAGGCAAGGCAAGGCAAGTTTATTTATATAGCACTTTTCAACACAAGGCAATTCAAAGTGCTTTACAAAAAAAATGAAAGACATTAAGAAAAAGGCATTTAAAATCAGTCATTAAAAAGAAAAGATAATAAAATAAACATTAAAAGAAAAAATACATGGATAAAAGTTACAGTGCAGTCTAAGATATGAATAGTTCAATTAAAAGCAGCGACAAAAAGAAAAGTCTTCAGCCTGGATTTAAAAGTAGTCAGAGTTGCAGCAGACCTGCAGGTTTCTGGGAGTTTGTTCCAGATATTTGGAGCATAATAACTGAACGCTGCTTTACCATGTTTAGTTCTGACTCTGGGGACAGAAAGCTGACCAGTCCCTGAAGACCTGAGAGATCTGGATGGTTCATAATTTAGCAGGAGGTCAGTAATGTATTTTGGGCCTAAACCATTCAGTGCTTTATAAACCAGCAGCAGTATTTTGAAATCTATTCTTTGACACACAGGAAGCCAGTGTAAAGACTTCAGAACAGGAGTGATGTGATCCACTTTCTTAGTGTTAGTGAGGACTCGAGCAGCAGCGTTCTGAATCAGCTGCAGCTTTCTAATAGATTTTTTAGTGAGACCTGTGAAGACACCATTACAGTAGTCCAGTCTACTGAAGATAAAAGCATGGACAAGTTTTTCCAAATCCTGCTGTGACATTAGTCTTTTAATCCTAGATATATTCTTTAGGTGATAGTAGGCTGTTTTAGTAACTGTTTTAATGTGACTGTTGAAACTGTCAGTTTCACTATTTCACTATTACATGTAGTAATAGATGTATTAATTTTTCTTCTCAAGAGAGTACCAGAATATGTATTTTATGTTAGTATTTCAAAAAATCTCCCAGACCCCCCTGCAGGGGTTGGGTTTTCAGCATGTCAACTCTTTCACCTGTGGGGAAATGGCAGGATTGCCTCCAGGTCGCCCTTTTTATTTACTACAAGACAAATGTGCCTTTTTATTTCATACAGTTCAATTTGGATTGAGACAGGGAAATAATCTAAACCTCACGCGTGGCGTTTCACTGTCAAGGGGAGCGTGTATGTAATTACATTGCAAATACTGACTTGAGCCCCACCACTGTATGGGTTAGCCCTACCATAGATTACCCAACACAAATACTCTGGCGCCGCCACTGTTTGCGGTCTACAATGACAGAGAAGAGCCTGTCAAGTTTGGCTGTACTCAGCATTGAATCAAAACGCACCATAGCTTTAAATCTTAATCAGTTTGTGAGGCCTTTTGCTGATCAAGATGGTATTCGCCACATTCAGCTGTTATAGCCAACTTGATGCTCTGCTCACGGATGAGTCGATGAGAATAACAAACTGTTAAGATGATGACCTTACGTGTGTATAATATATGTTCTTCTTTGAGGGGGTCTGCCCCCAAAAAACTGTTTCAAGTCCTGAGAAAGTCAAATAAGACGGTGTGTAAAACTACACTGCCCAGCCAAAAGAAAGTAACCACTTTGATTGAACTAGGCCAGTAGGTAAGGACTTTCCACTGGATAATAACTGCAGCGATGTTTATGTTTTAGCTGAATACACGTTTTTTAACCCTAACTGATGCAGTTAGTCACTTCTTTAATGTTTGTTCTTTCTGATGTAAAGTCAAGGTTGTAACTGTTTGCAATGAAGTTGTGGGGCGCTGAACTGTTCTTTTGGATCTTTTGATATATGATAGTAATTACTTGTCTTTCAAATTTGAAGGAGGGTGAGCAAGCATCTTGAGGAACATTCATCATTAACTCCTCCAAAAAATATAGTTTATTTAATAATAACACTGAATATGTGAAAAGAGTGGATCCACGCTTCGGGCTTGGCCTGCTTCCACCGGGCGTGTGCTGCTGTACGGAGGAGGATTTTACCACCGCTGGGGCCTGCTTTCCACCTGTCCTGGTTCTGCTGTTGCAGAGGCCTGCTTTCACCCCGGGGATACCACGGAGGGACCGGAGCGCTTCCACGCTGCTGTTTTCGCCTGTCCTTTGCTGCTGTGCTGATTTTGCTCCAGGAACATCGCGGATACTGTGTGCTGGTCTGGGAAAATGGCCCATATCGGGATTCTGCTGTGCCTGTTAACTGTTTTGGACTATGAGAAGATCTCTAGTCATTCTGAGAAGTCTACTGGATTCAGGTCTGTTCTGCCACCCGCAGTGGGCATCCCCTGCAAAGGTTCGGATGTGTTGCTCAAACAATTACCGGTTGCCTTGTCACAGTCAATCTGCTCGACAAAATATGTTTGTCTTTGTTGTTTTCCTGCGATGATGGTTCTTCAGGACTGCTTCTAAAGCTCAAATCACACTCTCGCAGACTTTTCCGGTGTTTCTAAATTAGATGACAATGTATGTGTGTCGCTTAAGAGGAAAAGATGCCTGGTTTTTGTTGTTGTTATTACTGTCAGGAAATGTACAACCTAACCCTGGTCCGCCCAGTAGTAGTAGTCAGATCGCTACTCCTGCTGATTTTAAAGCTAGGTCTGGGTTGCAGTCTGTTAGGTAAACTAGATTTTGTCCGTATCTGGGCGAGCTCAACTGACGCTGACGTCATTGTCTTATCAGAAACATGGCTAAATAAATCTATTTTGGCCTCTGACATTGCCTTAAATGGTTTTAATGTGTATCGTACCGACCGGCCTAATAAAGGTGGTGGCGTTGCCATTTATGTTAAGAATAAGTTCAGTGTAACCGCTGTAGTTTCCAAATCGATCAGTCAGCAATTTGAATTTTTAGCCATAAATATAGAAGTGGTAAAGGGGCAACAGGTCATGGTGGTGGGCTGTTACAGACCCCCTTCAGCTGTCAAAGACTCCTTGTCTTCACTAGCAAATCTTTTATCACAACTAGACTACAAGGAAATAGTGCTACTTGGAGATTTTAACTGGGACTGGTTAACTACAGTGTCAGAGGATTTAAAAAACCTTTGTATCTCTTTAAATGTTACTCAGATTATAGACAGTCCTACTCGCCCTAACATTAAGTCCCCTAATAAATCCTCCCTAATTGATCTCCTTTTAACTAATGTTCCCTATAAATACTCATCTGTGGGAGTATTTGCAAATGATCTGAGTGATCACTGTGTTGTAGCCACAATTAGGGACACTAAGGTCCAAAAGGTTAAACCTCGCATTATCATTAAGAGAGACAAAAAACATTTTGTTGAGCAGGGTTTTGTGCATGATCTGTTTGATTTTGATTGGGGTAAAATCGATCGGTGTGCTGATGTGGAAACCGCATGGTCTTATTTTTATCTTGGTTTTATGGAGATCATTGATAGACATGCACCCCTGCGTAAATTTAGAGTAAAGGGACGAGACAATCCTTGGTTTTCTGCTGAGCTGTCTAGTCTCCTTCATGAGAGAAACAAGGCCTGGGCAAAGGCTAGGAAATCAGGCTCAGAGGTAGAATGGCTGCGTTTTAGGCAGCTAAGAAATAGCTTCACATCGCAAATCAAAAGTGCTAAATCAAAGTACTATCTGTCAGTAACCACAAAGAATCTGAATAATCCTGGAAAACTTTGGAAAGCCATTAAATCGTTATCCACGTAGAACCTTTCTTTTTAAAGATAGCTGCAGATTGTATTGCTCCACCTCTCACTACTCTTTTTAACCTCTCCCTCAGCACTAACACAATTCCAAAATTGTGGAAGTCAGCGTATGTCCTGCCTTTGCTAAAAGGAGGGGAGGCCACCTTATTAAATAACTTTAGACCAATCTCTAAGTTGTCAGTTCTGGCTAAGGTTCTTG